TAATACAACATTCTTTTATTATTACTGGATGTAAAAACTTGCAATTAGCTTTTTTCCATTGAGCAGATAAAGCAAGAGTCATATCATTAACTAGTTTATCGACAGTATAGTTTCTTTTATCAAGGTCACTGGTCTCTCATAAAAATAATCTATATCTTAAAATGTCCCTTGCATTAGGGAGCTCAGATGGTAAAAGGGGTTTTCCTTTTCCAACATATCTACTTAAGTGAGTAACTGATAAATTTCTTGTGATTTTTAGTGCCATTTTTTTTATTAAAATATAATTTTTCAATAATCCAAATAGTTTTTTTAATTTATTTTTATTAAGCTAAGCGTTTAAGTTTTAAAAATATCTCCTAATAGGTCCGAAATAAATTTCCTCCACTTAAAGTTAAATTTTTAGAAACAAAATACATTTTAAACGAAATACATCATTGTTTTAACGATTATATATATATATATATATATATATATATATATATATATATATATATATATATATATATATATATATATATATATATATATATATAGAGAGAGAGAGAGAGAGAGAGAGAGAGAGAATCTTTTTGAATGTATTTTTGTGGTCAGTATACTTTGTGTGTTCTTTTTTGCATTATATTATAAACCGACAAACATCTTTATAAATCATATTAATTTTTTAGGATTTATCCCACAATATGTGCAACAACGATATTTGGGCGCAGCCAAAACAAAAATAGTCAAAGGTTTGGATTCATTTATTAGATAATATATATGATTCACAAAATTTGTCAAAATGCTAGCATTGTGATGTCAAATTTAAATCTCATTTATCAACTACATCTTTGACATACCACATGCAACACAACACAACCTTATTTTAGAATCTGTGTCATAAAGCTCATCAGTTAGTATCAAGTAGTTCTCAAAAGTTAGTTTAAGCCTATTTTCAAAAACAAAATTCTTTTACTGGGTTAATTCTTATGATGTTAAAAGCTTTAGATAAAATACCATTTTCTACTTATAACAAACAGTGAAGAAATTACGAATGGATAGAAAGGAATTAAAAAAGCTACATTTGAGTATGCTGATTAGAGATAAATTAAAAAGTGATTTAAAAAAAAAAAAGAGAATGGTGAGTGATTTTGATTATCATTACACGAGTGGACCTACAAAAGAAATAGATATTATATGTCATAGCAGAAAGATGTACGATCAAAGCAGAAAGATATTTTAGTGTGGCAGGGTTTTTTGTAACAAAATTGTGAAGATCTTTATATGATGAAACCATTAATTCATTATGCTTTCTTCGCTCATATCTTTTACAGGAACAATATAAAATAACTGCTGATAAAATTAACTTATTTTAAAACTATGTTTTTTACTAATGTAAATGAATTACAAACAAATTATCAAACTTATTATGTTTTCTTCAGTTTTTTAAATTAAAATTCTTTACTTTTCTTCACCATTATAATATTATAACCATTATTAATTACATTTTATTACTATTTATTTACTTAACTATTTACTTGACTATTTTATTACTTTAAACCAAAATAAATTTATATAAACAAACAAACTTATTATTATTTTATGAGTAGTTAAAGAAAAACATCTTCAGTTTTATTTTTGATAAATCGATTAATTGCTTGTTTATTTTACTTATTAATTGTTACATATACATATATATATATATATATATATATATATATATATATATATATATATATATATATATATATATATATATATATATATATATATATACATATATTCATATATATATATAGTTAGTGGTAAAACTGCGAGGATCTAATCAACAAGCTGAGACATAGCAACGTTCAGCTGTAGCAGCCCAATACTTTTTAATTAATTTAAACCAATTTATTCTCATTTTTCACAAGCATTTGTCAAGATTTGCTTTAAATTTGTTCAAATTCTCAGACTTTACAATGACATCTGCAAGTTTATTCCAAAGTTGGCATGCTCTATTCAAGAAGAAAAAGATATATATATACAGGATGTGAAATTCAGCTTTTTTGGCCGCGGCAAACAAATGCTTAGAGCTTGATTCCAAAAGTATCATTTACCTTGGCAACATTTTTTAAATTCAATTAAAGTTTTACATTTTTAGTAAATTATTTTCTTATAATTTCTTGAATGAAATTAAATGAAAAAATGTCACTTTTTATAATGACTATAAAAATATAACTTTTTAAAAAATTTTCTAAAATACGCTTTGCACTTTTTTGTGGAGGAAATTAATCTAAATACTACAAAGCCCATGGCAAAAGCCTTGACATATGCTGAATGCTGAGGGTAGCAATTATTTTAATTATTCCTAGTTTTCTTTTTCTGAAAATACAATGTTATAAAGATAAGCAAAACTTGTAATAACATAATATATATATACACTATAGTAGATATATATTTTCTTTAATTAATTTTTTTTTTAATTAATTTTGCAACTTATTTTGCAACTTAATTTACTTAATTTGTTATTTACTTAAATTAATTTACTTATATTTTTTACTTGAATTTAAGTACTAATAATAAATAAAAAAACTTATTAAAAATAAATAAAAAACTTACTAAAAATAAAAATTTTTTATAGAAATAATTTGTTGGTTGAAAGACTTATTTTAATTATTCCTAATTTTCTTTTTCTGAAAATACAATGTTATAAAGATAAGCAAAACTTGTAATAACATAATATATATATACACGATAGTAGATATATATTTTCTTTAATTAATTTTTTTTTTAATTAATTTTGCAACTTATTTTGCAACTTAATTTACTTAATTTGTTATTTACTTAAATTAATTTACTTATATTTTTTACTTGAATTTAAGTACTAATAATAAATAAAAAAACTTATTAAAAATAAATAAAAAACTTACTAAAAATAAAATTTTTTTATAGAAATAATTTGTTGGTTGAAAGACTTAAAAATAATTTGTTGGTTGAAAGACTTCTATAGAAATAATTTGTTGGTTGAAAGACTTCTATAGAAATAATTTGTTGGTTGAAAGACTTCTATAGAAATAATTTGTTGGTTGAAAGACTTCTATAGAAATAATTTGTTGGTTGAAAGACTTCTATAGAAATAATTTGTTGGTTGAAAGACTTCTATAGAAATAATTTGTTGGTTGAAAGACTTCTATAGAAATAATTTGTTGGTTGAAAGACCTCTATAGAAATAATTTGTTGGTTGAAAAACTTCTATAGAAATAATTTGTTGGTTGAAAGAATTCTATAGAAATAATTTGTTGGTTGAAAGACTTCTATAGAAATAATTTGTTGGTTGAAAGACTTCTATAGAAATAATTTGTTGGCTAAAAGACTTCTACAGAAATAATTAAGTGTCTATGCATTCCATATAACTCAATTTCTAGAAAAAGCATCAAGAAGAAACACTATGTCAATAAAAAACTTTTTTTTTTTTGAAGTATTTGGACAATTGTATTAAAATTTCATAATATTTTGTAAAACAATAATAAATATTCCCAATATCGCAAAAATAATATAGTAAAAAATATTCCTGACTAAAACTCACTATCTTGGTCATTACCAGATAGAACCATTAATACAGATAAACCAGCTAAAAAGGTTGATGAAGATGTTTACTTGTTGCAACAATATATACTTAATGTCACATATTTTTTACATTATAGTAGTTAGAAAATAGTACAGCAACTAACACAGGCTGGTGTTATAGCACCTCTTGAAAAGCTGTCAGGTCATAAGTGAAGACATGTTATTAATTACTACTAGAAGAAGTAACTAACAATATGTCAACAGGCCAAAAATAATCCTACTATGTAAAGCAGCTAAGAGTGGTGAGTGACCACCTAATTGTAAAAAAAAAATTAGTTTGGCTTCTTAAGTCATACTATCTGTCATCTCCAGTTAAGGAGCTCACTACTGGCATAAAATAGCCCTCATGTGGACAACAAAATATGAAACTCATCAAAATTTTGAAAAGCTTGAGTTGCTTGTCTTGTTCTATTTGCAATTTTACTTGAAACTTTTTTTTTTGACAAAAGTAAAAGATAAAATTAAATCAGTTGAGAACTCTTAGAAATCAAAATGAAAGAAAATGTAACTCCCTACATCTAGTAAAGAGTTTGGTATGCAGTTAATGAAAGTATACTATTATCCTTGTTATCCAGTACTAGTGCATAAGATTGTAACTTTGCAATTGAATACATTTTGAGACAAAGGGGCACTGACATCTTTGGAGATATGTAAATCAGACCTAGAAAAACACTAAACTTTGCAGCAACTACTCTGCAAGAGCTAGTTATGTCTCTCAAAGAGCTAGTCATATAAGAAAAAAGTGAAGTGCAAAAAAATGGTTTTAAAAAATGGTTTTACTTTAGAGCAACAAAAAGTTGTGATGCCTGTGTTTATATTCAAAAAAAATTTAATTAAGTTATGTCAACATTGTTATGTTAAGAAAGACACAACTTGCATTAAAATAGGAGTATCAAAATCTAATTTGGGTAAGATGTGGGGTGGGAAAAAAAAAAGGGGGGGGGATGATATTAACAACCTGTTTTTTGGTAAAAGGGTCTCACTGAAACCAATTATATTTCTAAAATGTACAATTTTTAAATCAAAGAAAAAAGTCTAAAAAATTATTATTGGCTAATTTTTTTTTTGTCATTAAATTGTTAAAACCTCACTAAAAATTGAAGACCCTGAAAAACTGTGGATAGGATGCATGCAAAATAATAAATCTGAAATAAGTATTAATTAAAAATATTTCAATACAATAAATTTTGATTTAAGTATTGAATACATTCAATACTTAGATGAAAATGAAGAAAATGTAAAATACATGAAAGTGAAGGTTTAATATATTCTTGAAAATTCATAACTTTGTCTGACCAAAAGTTTTTTTTGAAAACCCCTTTTTAAAATCTAATACCACATAAGAATATATTATTTCTTACACTTTTAGAATAAAAAAAGCTTCTCCTGAATGTAAACAAAAAGAATAGACATACTTCTGGTTGAAAAGTTGCATTAATTTTGCATTGGGTTCTTGGAGCAAGATTTCCACTTACTGGCTGCAAAACGAAAGGTAGATCTGATTGCAGTTGAAAAGAAACATAGAAATCACTAAAAATAAATTGGTAAAAAAAATTTGTTTAATAAAATTTTTTAAAAAACTTTTTTTTTATTGGCTTATTTTTATTATTATTTTTTTATTTATTCTTATTATTAAAAAAAATAAAATTTAAGATAATACCAAGGTACAACGCAACAGTCTATTAAATTTTTTTAAGTTTTATAATAAAAGATCCAAATATGACTTTTAAATATCCAAATATGACTTTTAAAATCCAATGCTGAATCAGTTCATTATATTTAAACCAATGGCCTGTGGGACACCATCTTTGATTTTCCTGATTTTTACATATTATTATGCACATTAAGTAAATATAAAATTTGAAATTTCAGAGTACAAAGCCTTATAAACATGACACAGTAGCTCCTCTTTATTTACAAATGGTTAAAATAGACTACTTTAGGCCCTTATGACATTTTTCTCACTTTCAACAAGTGTCTCATTTTTTCAAGAGCTATTTTCTCTCCTTAAAAAAATGGTTTTTACTAACTTTGATCATATTAGGAAAAATTATAACCTCTTTAACTTTGGAAAAAATTTGATATTTGCTAATATATGCTAAAAAGAAATTAACTGCACTACTTTTCTATTCATCCATAAATCTTTACAGGTAAGTATTCTGATTACCTACTACTGCCTGCAATAAATGTGCAGAATTGTTACATCTTGTTACAGTTTAAACTCAAATATATCTTTAAGTAAAATTGCCCATTGCCTAGAAAGTAAAATTTTTGACCATTTTGAGATATTTGTATATTTTATTGAGATATTTGACCATTTTGAGATATTTGTAAATTTTCCTAGCACTTTGTTTTGATCTAAGTTTAACAGCATGTAAGACTCAACTATCTGAAAATTCATTAAAAACTTGTCAAATGCATTATAAACTTGTCAAATTCACACCAAAAATGCTAGCATTTTTAAAAAACTTTATTTTTCAATTAATAATAGTTTAATGCATTGTTTGAAGCCAGTGTTCCTCTAACCTGCCTACTGGCCCAAAAATGAAATTAACTGTATTATTTTCTATTCATGCACGAGTCTTATATAGCTAATAAGAAGATTAGCTACTACTGTCTGAAATAAATGAGCAAAACATAGGCAGCTTGTTGCAGTTTAAAACTCAAATATATCAAATATATATCTAAAGTAAAAATGTCTATACACCTAAAAAAGTTCAATTTTCAGCCATTTTGAGATGCTTGTAAAATACTTTGTTTTGATCTAAGATTAACAGCATAAGACCATTCGACACAACTATCTGAAAATGCTAACATAATAAACTGGTCAAATTAAAATACCAGCAATTTTAAATCTCTACTTTTCAGTTATAAACAGTTAAATGCGTTATTTGAAACTAGTGCCCCTCTAACCTGCTTACTGGTCCATGTGAGGGATGCAACCAATTATAAGTCATTTCTTTACAAAAAAAAAAAAAAAAAAGGTTGGTTTCCCCCTCCTTGATTTGATCTTTATAGTGGATAGAAGCACAAAAAGGGGCAGTAACTATTTGGAGATCTTCATTATTGTTCAAATGAAAGTCTCTGAATTAATTTAGATATTTAAATACCTAATACCTAAGTTAATTTTAATTTGAAAACATTTCTTTGAAATCTATATTGTCATTGGTGATCAGAGGTCATAATAGGTCTCAGACATCAGTGCCCCACCCCCTACACCTTCTTTGAAATCCATCTGAGGGAAGCAACCAACTTTTGGTAATTTAAAATATCTTTGTTAATGCCCTTTTAAGGCCATATCATTATATACTTGCTGAAAAAGCTGGCACACACAGTCTATGTTTGTATACACCATCAAAATCCAAGTCTTATGGTAAAAGCATCAAAAAATGAAATATAGTCAAAAAATATGATGTCCTTAACTGTATGCTACTGTAACGGATTCATCAGAAAATAACTGTATTCATTAGAATACAGTTATTTTCACAATAGAAAATATCTGTATTCAAAAATAACAGATTTATTAGAAAATACCTGTAATGGATTCATTAGAAAATGAATTATGTATGTTTTTATGTTAGAAAATAAAAGCTTTTGACACATCTTATAAGTGTGAGAAGTGTCCAAAAAAAAATTAAATGTCCTTGTGCTAATGAAATAACTTATAAACAATAGTTGAAAACTGATAGGTGCTCCTTAGAAACGTTAAAAGCCCTAATTAGTTTGACAAAGAGTTAGCAAACAACTCAAATGAACTTGCAAAACATCAATATATTAGCAAACATCAGACATACTAGCAACTCAAAGAACATAAGAAAACAAATAAATACATTATGCAAATGGATTTTGCAGAAAAGTTTTTATTTATATTTCAGAATGAGGTTTATCTTATTTTTTCAAATATCAGGCAACTCTTCATCTGTTACTAGGGATAGGTTTCCTTTTAAAAACCTCACATATATCTAAGGTCTTTAAAAGGAAACCTTTTAAAGACCTGACATCATATATCTGAGATCTTTAAAAGGAGACCTAATTCTCTAATCATTTAGCAAGTACTTGATATGTATTAGCAGCTGTTTACCTTAAACAGTAAATTTTATTGTGTTATATCTAACAATCTGCTTCACAAAACCAAGGCAGTCTTTAATTATGTTTCAGAAATCATACAAATTCTGAAAAAAGAATATCAGCATATTTAGATGACTCATTACTTCACTGATGGTGCAGGCAGTCAGTATAAAAAAAAGTTAATTTTTTAATTTATAATATTTAAAAAATTTTGACTAAGCAATTTTAACGAAATCTTTGGCTATTAAAGTGATGTTTTTCAAATTTGATAAATTAATCATCGCTGTCTAAATAGGTATCTTTTTTTGATATTACAGATTTAATTTAAAAAAACTTTGTTTTTATAAAAAACTATGAATTAAAACCAAATTGGCATTTTTAGCACAGCATATGGAAAAAGTGCATGTGATGGAGTAGGTGGTATTGGTAAGAGTTAACAAACTATATTTTCAAATGCCTAATTAAAATTAGCCTTTCATGATTTTGACAACAAAGGACACAATTTTAGTTGCTAAAGAAAATTGTGAAAACCTCAGGAATATAGTATTTTATTGAATTTATTCAATAAAATACTATATTCCTGTTTATGTGTGTTAGGTTTTTTAAACAATTGATGTTTTGTATCCAATATCATAATTGTCTTTTAATTAAAAATAATTATAATGGCTTATTTTGATTTTTTATAAAAAGTCAATCCTAATAAAATAAAATTTAAAAACTTTGCTCAAAAAGTTTTTTTTAAGAATTGCATAGAAAATAATTCAATAAAACGTTTACATTTAGTAGGATCTTGTTTTATTGAATTAATTTCTATGAATTTTTAAAATTATGTTTTCAGATTAATTTAATTTATAATTATTTTTCCATATATCTGAACCAAAACAGCTGCTAAAAAACATGAAGTACTTGCAAAATGATTTGAGAATATTTCTGCAGATAAAATAAAACCCTGCACATATTTTTTTTTCAACTTAATCATGTTGTTTTAAAGTTTATGTAACATCAATGAGGAGTAAATTTGACATTTTTCACATTTCACATTAAAGATACTATCAAAAGCACAAGAGTGTTTTACTTCTATCTTATTAAAAAAAGATTAAATTACCATATATTAATTTTTAATTATCAACTAATTATCATTTAGAAAGTAAAAACTGAACCTAATAATAAAAGCTGTTTTGAAAAAAACATGTTTTGACTTTTTTCTTTAGGAAACTCTATTTTTTTTATTATAAAATTCTTCAATACCCCTTATATATTATAAAATTTTTAAAAACTGTTAAGCATTATTTTGAAAATACAAATCGTTTTTGATTATGAGATATAATACTCCTTAATTGTGTAAATTATGTTTAAAGTATCACATTTAAGCAATAAAGAAAGGTTTCTGAATAGCTGTTGCCCCTTTATTTGTGCTGCTATCCACAATAAAGATCAAGGAAGGGGCAACCAATTATATCTTTTTTTTTTTAAGAAATAACCAATAATTAGTTGTACACCTCATATGGGCAAGTAGGCAGGTTAGAGGGGCACTGGTTTCAAATAATACATTAAACCATTAATAATTGAAAAATAGAGTTTTTTAAAAATAAGCAAAAGCTTATTATTAACAAGCTGTAACAAGATGCCGATATTTTGCCCATTTATTGCAGACAGTAGTAGCTAATCAGAAAACTTACCTGTAAAGACTTGTGGATGAATAGAAAAATAGTACAGTTAATTTTATTTTGGCATATTTTAACAATTTTCAGATTTTTTTTAAGATAAGGAGGTTATAACCATTTTTTTTTTTTAATTGAAAGTGAAAAAAAATATATAATATAATTATAAGGTTTTGAATTAGTCTATTTTGACCATTTGTAAATCAAGGGGGGCCATAATGGACAAAACAATATGTACAATTCAGGAAAATCAGCTATAGTGTCCCACAATGTTTTCTTTAAATTGGTTGAAATATAATAAACTGATCCTGCAGTAATTAAAAATATAGCCAAATTAAATTGGTTCCATTTTTTTTCTTAATGAACAAAAAAATTTCAATTTATAAATACCAAATATTTGCTATTTCAAAAGAGATGGTCACACTATCTTGAACTGCACACATTCCAAAATTGATAGTCTCTGGAGTGCTTAGTTGTATTTCTGCTGGTACTGCTGTTATAGGAATGTGAAAAGATCCATCCTTTAAAAAATATTATACTCATTATATTCTTAAATAAAAAAATTAATTAATAAAGTAATGAATTATTTATACGAATATTTAGTATTTATATTATACATTTATATTATAGATAAAAAAAAATAAGAGTCTACAGTTTTAAATGGCTGAAAAGATTTTATTTTTTAATTATGCACAGTAAGTTAATTTTTTTTAGAACTTTTATCTCTAATTTCTTCTACATTGAAATCACCGTTGCATCATTATCACTATCACACAATTGCATCATACTTACTACTACCTTTAAAGCTGAATGAAAGATCTTTTGTAAATTTCTTTAGAAATCATTAGACTGATGGCAAGCATAACTATTCTGAAAATTATACCTTCTATGTGGTCTCAGACAGACATGGAAACTTTTATTTCTTCATGTTGGTTTAAAAGCCAAAGCCTTGCTCCCATTGTTTTCTACTACTTGAGCAGCTGCTACTTTTTATTTGTACCCATTTCTTTCATCATTTTCACCAGAGCAACTTTCTTTAAAAACTAATGTTTTTTTTTTTGTATTACAAGAAATCAATGCAAAAACCTGTCATATAATGTCATGTGTTCTATAAAAATCCATTCTCAGATTCCTAAATTTCAAATTTTATCTCAGAAGTTTCTTGAGACTTTTCAAAATCTCTAACAATATCATTAAGAAAGGCAAGTCTTTTTTTTATTAATATTTTTTATTTTAGGTGCCCCAAGTAGACCTAACAGGCACAGCCACAGAGCACAGCAGATAAGCATTTAACTAGGAAGTTCACACCTCCTTTCTTACTGATGGTGCAAACTATACCCAGAACATGTTTTGAACCCTGGATCTTTTGCTAAGGCAAGTACTCTAATCAATACGCAATGACGCTTTAAGTCTAACACTCCATCTCTCAAACAAAGGTCTGATCTTTTTACCTCTCCTAAGGATAAAGCAAGAACTATTTGCAAATAACTTTTTATTCGACTAATTTTTACTAATTTGTAAAAGTTCTAACAATCACTTAATCAGTCTTCTTACTAGTGTTAGCAAAGTTGCTGAATCTTTAATTAAGTAAGTCCAACAGATTACTGTATGACATTTAATACCAAGTATGCAAAATTGGAGTCCCAGTCATACTTGAGAACTTCAAGGAATCCAAGATTTTAAAAACTATTAAAGAAAGCAAAACATTCCAGTGTAAAAAATTTTCTTAACAAGCCACTAATGATTTGTATATGTCATTAAGTTAAAATTGTTTTGCTAATAGTTGCATTGTTAAATGTGAAAGCACTAAGGTCATAGATTAAACTGCGAGTTTACCAAACCAGTGTAAAGTGAGCAGTCATAGCCCAGTGATTATCATGCTTGCCTCAGAAACTAGAGATCTGTGGTTCAAAGCTACTACTAGGCAAACTAAATAATATCTGTAAGGAAGGAGAACTTCTATTCAAATGATCTTCTGCAGTGCTATGTGATAAGACTGTAAGGACTTCTTTGTTACCTAAAATAATCAATGATAAAAAAAAAAAAAGTAGAAAGATCCTAGATTAAACTGTGTATATCAAGCTTTGCAGTATATAAATACATATTTTTTCAAAATTTGCAGCATATTTATGACACACATGTCTATGGCATGCATAGCTTAAAGGATTCAGTGTTTACAGAATAAGTAAGTAAGACCAATTACATCACATGCAGTTTACAAAACTATTGGCATTACAAAATTATATGTTAGGTATAGCATAACTTTTATTTAGACACTAATTTTACTTGATAGGTAAGATATGTACTATATTACAATGCATACAGCTTCAAAATAGCTCATACAATTTTTTTGAATTAAAATTTTTTAGGGGCTACCCCTAAAGATATTCTTTATTCAAAAAAATTGTAAACCTAGTGTTTTTGTATTATACAGAACACATTTAGGGTTGTGGAGCAGATTTTTTTCAAAAATGTTGTTTTTTGGACCACCCTAATATATATATATATATATATATATATATATATATATATATATATATATATATATATATATATATATATATATATATATATATATATATATATATATATATATATATTATATATATATATCATATTTGGATCATAAGATCCATCTACAAGTCATTTTATGCTTTGCATGTGGCAGCACAACATTCTTTGTCTAAATAAACTCTCTGGTCCATAATACCTTCTATGTGATGAGACCCACATTGTCATGACTAAAACATCCCCTAACCATAACATTTCTTACTCCATGTTTAACAGTCAGTAACTGATATTTTTGATAAAATCTGTCTCCTCCTGGGCGCCTAACAAACCTAATTCCGTCACTACTGAATAGCATAAACTTTGATTCATCAGAAAAAGAGATCTTTGACCAGTCATTAAATGACCAACTAATATGATCTTTTGCAAATTTTATTCTGGTTTTCAAATTTCTTGCAGATATTAGCGGTTTCTTAATTAGACAAATCAATGTTTAGTTGTATCAACAATACAGTTTGTGCCATGAAACTGATGCGTAAATAAATTAAGTTTGACAGCAGTCTTGCAAGGATTATTTTTGGAATACCTTACTGATAATCTATCAGACTTTTGTTGTAACTTTAGGTCTTCCAGAACGAGGTTTGCTTTCAACAGTTTTTAATTGTCAAATATTTTGACAATTAGTTATACTTCAACTATCTTTGGAACATCTTAAAGTAACTAAAATATTAAATTTCACAAAAATTTTGGCCTTAAATTTTGCTTTTGTTTACAAAAACATGATTTAATTGCGAGGTATGATATTGTTTTTAAACGGTAGCTTTTTCAAAAAAATAACTAAAAGTTAACTAACCGTTCAATTTTACAACTTTTGTGGTTTGTTTTTTAAATTAAAATATAGAGCACATTTGGTGAAAATCTCAGCTTATTCAAGAAAATTTGTGAAAAGTTATGAAGAAAAAACAGAAAAAAAGTTGGTATTTTTAAACTTTTGCACCCTACTGTATATACTTATATATAGCAGGGGCTATTCTAGACCGTTTTCGATAGCGTTGACCGTATTTAGGCACCACCCAAATTATAATTTGAGGACCTTGTTGTTTTTTTTTACGATTTTTTACGGTAAATATTGTTTTTTTCGCAAAAAAAAGCCGATTTTCCGATAAAGTTTGCCAGAACAAGTGGGTACCACCACCCAAATTTTTTTCCCTAGAATAGGCCCTGTATATACATACATACATACATATATATATATATATATATATATATATATATATATATATATATATATATATATATATATATATATATATATATATGTGTGTGTGTGTGTGTGTGTGTGTGTGTGTGTGTGTGTGTGTGTGTGTGTGTGTGTGTGTGTGTGTGTGTGTGTGTTAACTTATTTATATTGTAACAAAGCTCCAATTTAACACCCCGTTAAGATAACTGTTATCAAAAACATTTAAGAATAGCCTCTGATTATTAAAACATTCAACAATTTGTTATTATATTAACAGTAGCACACCTTATAGTTTTATACCTTTGTTATGAACTCAATAGAATCTTCAAACATATTCTAAATAAACAATAATATTTTGAAAAAAATATATTATTATAAAATAAATAACTTGCTACATTTTTAGTATCTAGTTAAAATATAAAAATTAATATATTAAAATATATTAAATATAAAAAAATAATATATTAATATATTAAAATATAAAAAATTTCTTAATTAATTTTTGTTTTTCTAATTTATCAAAATTAACAAATATTTAATAACTAGAAGCTTTTATATAAATAAGTTGTTGTTTTTGATTATAAAAACTTTTTTTTTAAATAAAGTCATGACGATCAATATGAAATGACAATTGGGTAGGGAGGGAAGTATACTTAATATATATAGGGAGGGAAGTATACTTAATAATTTTTTTATTTTTTGCTAACTTCTTCCTTAGCTTAGTTCTTTTTACTAAAGGAACTTAAAAATTAGTAAAAGAAGTTTAAATTTAGCAAAACATAATAAGTTGTAAGGAACTCGGTAAAAATGTTGTGGATTTTTGGTGCAAAATAGTTTTTAAACTATGTGTTAAATAAATGCTCCTGCCCAAAAGGGCAGAGATGTCTATTTGGCACATAGTAAGCCTTTGAAGCGATTTATAAATGTAACATCTGAGTTTACACAACCTGCTTGGTTACGTTTATTAGCTATTTTAGAAATAGTGCAGGTTTTAATGATAATGCGCAATTTCTGCCTCGTTTAATATTGTTTTGACTATCTCCAGCCTAGAGATAGCCAAAACAGTTTTTAAAATACCACCTGAATGTTGTTGTATCGCAAATAAAGTTAGAGAATAATTACCACAAGGAAAACATCTTTGCGGTCAATCTTATATAAATATAGAAATTCTTATTGTATGAGAAAGTTAGAGAATAAATAAAAAATGAGAACATAGTTATTATTTCTTAAATGCAAAATATGCCACACAACAAAATTGCATCATTAGCCCACCTTTTCTTAAATAAAAGCAGGGTGATTTTTTTGATACATACATAATAAAGATACAACATAATGATTAAGATAAAACATAATAAACTAATTAATTTTTAAAAAGTAAAAAATGCAAGCAATGAATTTAGCATTTGAAAACTTTCAACTCTGAACATAAAGATGTCATTGAAGCATATTAATTTACAACCAATTTAAAGATCATTTGCAAAAATTAAAATAAAAAAGATTGTTAAGAGATTTGTAAAATTAATTTATAAGCGCTTTTGCTGATAAATAGCAAAAAAACTTTCAAAATTAACAAACTGGTGAGGATCATAGTATAAAAGTTGTCCTCAATGGAAAGCACTCTTCTTCATTTCCTGTAACTTCAGGGGTTCCTAAAGGTTCTATCCTTGGCCCTATACTCTTTTTAATTTAGATTTAATGATAATCCCAGAAATTCTTACATGTAAGGCGGCATTGTTCGATGATGATACTACCATTTATACATGTCTTGAAAAGAAACCAACACTCTCTGATTTCTTGGAGAGGGATTTGAACTCGAAAACAATCTCACTTCTGCTACAGCATAGAGCTTTCAGCGGCAGATGAACTTTAATTCAGATAAAATCCTTTTTTTTTCAGCCAATTGTTACCGCAATAAATTAGATCTTTCTATATTTATAAATAGTGATCTACCCTTTATCTTCTAAGATTAACTCTTACTTCTGATCTTGGAAACCATATATCAAATACATTGCAATATTAGCACCTGTCAAAGTTGCATTAACGTGCTCACCACTTTTTTACTCCGGATTCTATTCTTTATCTCTATATATCTCAAATCTGTCCTTGTATGGAATACTGTTGCCATATCTGGGGCAGATCTTCCAATGGTGCACTTTCTCTTTTAGACAAGGTACAAAAACGCATTGCAAACATAGTTGGATCTGCTCTTGCATCCAACCTCCAACCATCATAACATTGCAGTAATGTTGCTTCTCTTTCTCTTTTCTATAACGGGTACTGCTCTAAAGAACTAGCATCTCTTGTGCCTTCTACTAAAATTCACTCTCGTGTTACTTGTCATTTAATTAAGTCTCATCATTTTTCTGTGACTACTTTTAAGTGCTCTAAAAACTTTTATTCGTCTAGCTTTTTTCCTCGAACATCAGTTCTTTGAAATTCACTTCCTTTATCTTGCTTTTCTAATTTATATAATTTGTTATCTTTTAAGTCATCTGTCAATCGTTATTTTGCTCTATAAACTTTGTCTTTTTTCTTCCAGTAACTTCTGTCTCTAATAGTGGTTATTCACGATTTTTATTAGTCCATATAATTAAGAAACTAATTTGCTATGTATGCTGGAACTATAAGAAATTTGTTAAATTTTTTTTTATGTTTATTTGTTTATTATGTTTATTCGTTTTAACATCTTTTCTCTTTTAAAATTTTTTTTGCTATATTTGACATTTTTTCTAAATACTTATATATAATAGGAAAATAATATAATAAATTTTTATTTTTTTGTAAACAATTTTATTTGATTAATAAATTTTGTTAATGAGAGAATAAGTTAAATAAAAGAATAACTTAGTTTCTTTAATAAATGTAATTACTGCATTTGATGCATATCTGAAATTGTTTATTTTATATTGCCCGATTTCTAATGTTAATACAAATAACTAGAGATAATGAACATAACGATTGCCCTGTTTAAAAAAATGTATTTAAAAACTTAAAAAAAAGTTTTAAATAGGCTTTTAAAAATTTCCTTAAGAAAGTTCAGTAAATTAACAATGCACTAGCCCACAAAATTTTGCAGCATTGTTTCATTTTTTTTTACATAAAAAACTTGTAACAAAAATAAAAAATTTTTAACAAGTAAATAGCAATTAGTTTCCTCGATTTCCTGTCCATTGATAAAAATAGTAAAGTTTAGCAAAGACATTTGAAAAACAAATTTAAAAATTTAACGTGTTTGTTTGTAGAGCAATTTATAAAGTATTTCCTTTATATACTGACTGAATAAAGTCGTGAAAAAATAGTATATCAAAAAATATTTTTATTTTGGTTATACTCTTATCTACTTTTTTCCTTGACTTGTATCAAACAATCCTAATTTTCTATTCAAAATAACACAAAGATGCTAGTAAATATTTTCTCAACCAATGATTTTATTATTTATTACAATATATAGGGATTGCATATCAAAATTTGAAATTTGAGAATTCCGGAATTTGTTTTCATAATATAGTTTCGAATTCTGAAAATTTTTTCCAGCGAACTCCAAAATTAAAATTTATTTTTCCGTAGTCTCTCCAACTTTTAAATTGTGTTTTTGTTTCTGTACATATAAATATTCTACGTTCTAATTCTATAAAAAGAAATAAAGAAAACAATTATAAATTACAGTTATCCTGCATAATACAAGTAGATATAGAGAAAACATTCCTAAAATGCAGTTAACGGTTTTATGTCTTCATTTCATATCCACATATAATAATTTTGATATTTGATATAACCTTGTGTTCATGTCTTATATTTTACAATCTTCAACAGTGTTGAGATTTGCTTATTAGAATGTGGTTTGTATTGAATTATTTGGATCAATATTTTTTAAATAGGTTAGCAAATAATAGCAGGAATAGTAGCAGTTTCAATTTAACAACATTATTTGATAACTATTTAATTTTAATTCTGTTTTGTTTATTAAGTAAAATTATTATCAACAGCACATCCTAAAATGTCTTCAAAGGAAAGTTATTCGGAATACACAAAGCAATGTAAAAATCAAAATTCTGTTTAGGCTCATTTTTAAAGAGGATCAAAAAAACTAACAGCAAAATGTAAAAAATGTTATGAAATAGTAAAAACTGCTGGACAACACCGCAGCACACGCATTTAAGATTAATACACAATATTAATGTATTAAAACGGGATGTCGCGCAAGATAAAGGTCCAGAAAGCAGCGCATCAAATATGATGATTATAAACTATTTATTCAACAAAAAAGATAAATCACTTTCTGCAATCGTATCACAAATGTGTGCCTTGGATAATATGCCATTCAAAGTTTTCTGTACAACTCAATTCATAAAATGGTTTGAGAACACGCACAAAAAATGCGGGCTAAAATGATGCAGGATTTTATAAATTTAAAAGAACAAAATTTTACTTAACTTAGATGAATGGATATCTTTAAGAAACCGATGTTATTTAAATGTGAATTTCTAATTTTGGAAAATCACATTTAAATAACATTAAAACAGTTTTGGAATTTAGGTTTAGTACCTGTTGACGGACATTTCCCTGCAGAGAAATGCATTACTGCTCTGAAAACCAAATCGCAAGACAACAATCTAAATATCGATGAAGATGTATATATATATATATATATATTTTTAAACATCTTCGTTTCCAACAAGGCTGCAAGCAACCACTAATTAGAGTTGGAAGTTATTGGAAGAGAGAAGATGAAGATTGTAAAGCATGATAACGATTGACAGACAACTTAAATTATATGATTCAGGAAAGCAAGACGAAGGAAGCGAATTCCAAAAAACTGATGTTCGAGGAAAAAAACTAGACAAATAAGATTTTTTGGAGCACTTAGGAACAGTCACAGAAAAAGAGTGAGACTTAATTTAATGACGAGTAACACGAGAATGAATTTTAGTAGATGGCACAAGAGACGCTAACTCTTTAGAGTAGTGCCCATTGTAGTATTTGTAGAAATAAGAGAAACAACATTACAACAATGCTATAATGGTTGAAGGTTGGCTGCAAGAGCAGGTCCAACTATGTTTACAATGCATTTTTGTACCTTGTCTGAAAGAGAAAGGGCATCATTAGAAGATCCGCCCCAGATATGGCAACAGTATTCCATACAAAGCCGTATTTGAGATTTATAGAGATGGAGAATAGAATCCAGAGTAAGAAAGCTTGATAAAGAGATGCAACTTTAGCAGATGCTAATTTTGCAATGGATTTGATATATGGTTTCCAAGAGAGATCAAAAGTAACAGTTGATCCTAGAAGATGAAGGGTAGATGACTCATTGGGTACATTACTGTTCATAAATATAGGAAGGTCTAAATTATTGCGATAATGATTAGCTGAAAAAAATTGAGTTTTATCTGAATTAATTATTTCTTTTAAAGTATAGAAAATAAAGTAAAGAATATTTCTATTATAACTGATATTATGTCTATAATAACTGATGAGGTAGCTGTGATGCAAAAAGTTGGATGGCTTTTACCATGTAATCAGTTGTGCTTCGCACATGCAATACATTTAGCTGAAATTGATGTTCTGTATAATAATTCGAATACAACTGAATTGGTGGCTCACACATATACAGAAAGTGTTAATGAAGATCATGTAAGTGACTTCGATGATCCGATGAGGATTACATTGAAGATTGATTGAACAAACTTATAATGAAGCTGAGTTTGTTGAGACTGAAGAATTTGAATTTAGTTTTCTTATCAAAAAAGTTTGTTCTATTGTAAAGAAATTTTATTTTTTGAGAACATCAAATGATATTCTTCAAGTATACAAGAAACAAGAATTTGGAAAACAATGAATTATCTCAATGAATTATCTCAAGTAAATTATTTTTATTATTTTAATAGACATAAAAAAATTGAATTTTGAATTCCGACTTTTTTATTTTCCTAAAAATTTGCATTCTTTAACAATATATATGCCTATTTAAAATTTATTATAATTTAAAATAAAATCTACTTAATTTTTTAGCAGTTTAATTATAGTTTGCAAAAAAGCTGAACATTTTTAAAAATATTCTCTGTTTTAAATTTTTTGTTGCTTTTATAGATGTCAAAAAACCAATAACAGTATTTCATCTGAAAATGTTAATTTGACAGTTTTTTATATTTATATAAAGAATAAACAATATTAATTTCAGAAAAGAACCTTGCGGTACATTAATGTTTTTTATAAGCGATCATGTAAAATGTATCAAACTTTGTGTACTGCTTTATTCCACCAAGATTACAGCATTTTTTTTTTTACATTCCTTATTTCTTCAACTTTTATAACGTAAAAATTTACGCTCTTATTTGAAAGCCCCATCATAAACTGTACTAGCTGAATAATCATGTGATAGTGACATAGTGCAGTGTTTTTGCAATGTTATAAGTCATTATTCAATATTAGTGTCAGAGTGTACACTTACTTTGAGCGTTAACTAAATTGAATGATGCTAAAGTATTTGTAACAGAATTATTATAAGCAAACCCTCTGCAAAAAGGTCGAAACAATAAAGAAAACAACAAAACAAAAAAAAAACATGAAAAATAAAATTTACTTAACATCCTTCAATCAAAAATTAATAAATTTTGATAATATTGATTAAAAAATCTTGTTATTACACAACATGAAATGTTATTACACAACATGTAATGTTATTACACAACATGAAATCTCGTTATTACACAACATGAAATGTGCAAAGCTAATGAAACAAGATCATCAAAATTTTTTGTAGAATAAAATGAACGAAGATCTTTTAGAAAACACTTTTATGGAACAGTTAAATTGTATTTTATGTATACAACCAGTATATACATAAATGCACCCAGCGTTTACCTGACATTATAGCGTATAAAAAAAAAAAAGAATATAATGTAAATCTTAGCAAAAATTTTATTAAAAAATATTATTAAAAATATAATTAATAATAATAATTAATTAAAAATATGTATATATAAATTTGTATAAAATATTTCCTCTATCAAAACACGTGTTATATGGTTATAAATATAAAACAAAATAATTTTAATGTGATACTAAAAATGAAATAATATTAAAAGATGAAAGATACAACAATAATTTATTGATATTTACCTTTTCTAATGGCCTAAACACAATTGGTATATTTACTTTAGAACCAATATTTAAAACTATTGATTGAGGATATTTTGAAGCAAAATATTTGCCATTTACAATTCTATATATAAAAAATTTAACTTATAGTTAATTTTTTTTGAATAATATTATTTTAAAAAGCTATAAATATTATTAATCAGTAAACTAGTAACTATTAATATATATAACTATATAAATATTATTTACCAGTAAACTAGTAAAATAATAACCAGGGCTCAAATTAACTTGAAAAAATCTAATCACGAAAAAAAAAAACATTTTTTTTGCAACACACCTTCTCCCCTGGCGCTGCTTTGCGGTAATGGAGGGGGAGTTGCGTTTAGTATAAAATTTTAGTATAAAATTGTATCTTTAGTACATTAGTTCGTAATTGTTATTTTTTTTACATATCTCTCATATTTAAAAAAATACCTTATAATTTTCTTGTTTGGCAGATTTTAATATAGCATAAGTTACTGTTATAATTTACAGCTTAAGTTATAATTTAAAGTTTAAGTTGCAGTTATAGTGTAATGAGCAAGTAACGTATTTAATATTACTAAGATATTACTTTTATAATTATTTTTACTTAACATGATACTTAAAAAAGTTTAGGTAAAAAAAAAGAGTAAAAACGCAAATATTAAAATATTTGAACAACTTTAATTAGTCATAGAAAACTATTTAACATTTTCATGCGGACAATAATACATGTGTTATTTTTAAAAAGAGTATTTAACTGTTATTGTAAAAAGCTATAAAACAACAATAAAACAAACTGCAAAGTTGTTTTAACAATATAAAGGAGCTTGTGTTAATGTAAGACAACTTTGTGACACTGTTTTATTGCTGTTTTATACAGTTTATAACCTTAATAACATAAAACGTGTTTAAAATAAAATATGTGAATAAATAAATTTGTTGTAATTAGTAAGTAAAAACATTATCGTCATAAAACTTTAAACTTCATATTTGCAAAAAACATGCCTATAAACCATAAGAATCTATAATCTTAGACCCAACAAGTAAGATCAAAGCAAAAAAACATTAGATACCACATTTTTTATAATTTATTGTTTATTGATCTGGCGTACTTATAAAAATTTAAGTATAATTAAACTTCTCATTCAAATGGTTTTTAAGTTGATGTTTTAATTTAATTTTTTCATTCAAATTGATTTGCAATAAAAAGTGAAACAAAAAAATTTGGTTTAATAAATCAAATCATATTTCCTCAAGTTTAACAATATAATTTAATTATTTTTTTAGAAATAAATTTCTTTGAACAGAATTAAAATAATTTATTAATTTAAATTCAAATTTTTTATAATTTAATTTTTATTTTAAGTTTTGCAATCACTGGTTTAATGTTTGCAATTTTTACTTTAAAAACTATTTTTAAGAAAAAAAAAAAATTAACTATTAAAAACGTTTACAATTTAAATAAAACTTTCTTCCTCAATTGCACTATGCCCTAAGTCGTATATTGGTACTGTTTTGATTTAGTTTAAAAGTAAATTTACTGTGATGTACTTTATCAATTCAGTAAATTAAACTAAATTTAACTTTAAAATAAAGTTATATTTAGTTTGATTTACAGAAAATAAAGTAATTTAAATTTAAAAGTGTTGAATAAAGAAATATAATCTTTGCTCTCTTGCTTTGCGCAAGAGAGCAAAGATTATACATCAATTCAAAAGATAAACTTAGTGTGACATTATGACCCCTAATAAAAAACTTAATCAAAAACATTACTTTTAAAAATGGCCCAAAAAATGCTAAATTAGAATAAGAAAAAAAAAAACCTACAAAAAAAAAAAAAAAAATCACGAAAATATTTTTTTTTTCCAAATAAATTAATTGCAAAGGTGTGAAAAGCAATGGCAATACACTTAATTCGAGCCCTGATAACATATAAGATTTTTTATGTTTTTTCTGACTATACTAAATATATAAACATGCGTTATAGTTATTAAACTACTTGCCAAAAAAAAAATGCAACCTGTATTTAACTTTTTTTGTTCTTGAATCTACATTTTTCAATGTTATTATTTCAGAGTACTCCCTGCCAAGTTCCCAACTTTGCCAATGCAAATTACTTTCAATGTCAATTCCAAAATGGTGATAAATTGCTTTTTTAGGCTTTTGCATATTTTACTTAATTATAAATTTCACACACTGCTTAACGCACAATAAAAAATTACAAATGCACAAATGCTAAATTACAAATGCACAACACTATATTACATATGTACAATAATATACTACAAATAATATAAACTCTGTATCAATATTATATTATTATAATTTAATATAATTACTATGTTAACAACAAATAAAAACAAACCATTTAAGTAAAATAAACTTAGCAAAAATAAATTGCAACCAACATAAAAGTTCTCAATGAATAAAAAAAACAATAGAAAAATCAATAAAAGCTAAGTAACATTAATTCTAAGAAGTGATAACAATGATAGAACTGTATAAAGTTCTCGTTTATTTAAAACAAAATAAGCAATTAGGTAGTTTATTTTTTATAACTTAAAATGTTGCAATGAAAAAGTTTAAAAAAATTAATTTAATTACTGTAACCATTAAAATGTTTTATTCATTAGAATAAAAAATTTTTAATGGTTACAGTAAGAAACATATAGACAATAACCTTTGTTTAAATTTTAACTAAAAATCACATGTTATGTACTTTTTAATTAAACTATACAAATGCTAATGCTACTATTGACATGATTCTTAAAGAAAAATAGGCAAGGGCTTCATTATATAAACCAAATCAAGACTAAAACCTAATGTATGTACATTTACTGCACTTATAAATACAAACACCAATTAATATTCACTCTATGTGTTTAAATAATATATATTCACTCTATGTATTTTTTTTTTTTATTAATATTTTTTACTTTTTTAGTTCTAAAAAAAAAAATTCAAGTAAAATAACAAAAACTAAATTTTATAATAATACAGAAATTAAATTTTAAACTGAAATTGTATTTATTAAAGATAATAAACTGATTAAAAAAAAAATCAATAAAATTATTTTTTAACATCATTTATTTAACATAAGTTGAGACTGGCATTTTTTTTGAAACAAGCTTTCTATGCTCTCAGACAACCAACAATATATTCTGGTGTTGATCTTCATTGTGGGATGTATCAACATATTCTTGGATAGCACCAATGTCTCTTTCAGCAAAATCATTAGTGACACATACAAAGCTACAAAAGTCTATATAAGATTTAAGTTACTTTAAGTCTACCTCAGTCTAATACCACTCCCTGACAACACTAGTGGTGTCAGTAATAATAAACAAAAGCCAGCTTTCCTCTGTAATTAAGTCTTCTTGTTTAGTAGACTTAGATGGATACTCTTCTTGGAGCCTATAAGCCTAAACCTTTCTGGTTAGGTACACAGAATGTAAGTAGCTTTCCTATGACAGACATTTTGGTAGACAAATCAAGATCAGGATCAGCCAATCCCAATTCTTTTGGATGATTTTAGCAGCTTTGTTGCTACACTTGGTATATATTTTTGGATGATTTTAGCAGCTTTGTTGCTACACTTGAGGCCATTTACAGTCGTAAATGGCCTCAAGGTCATTTACTAGTGCATGTTCAGCTTCGCTAAATTTCAGAAATGAACGAGCAAAGTATAGAGCAACAATAAACTTAGCCTTAGAGACCAGTCATCTGATCATCACTCAGGAAGTTAATAATAGAAGATGTTATATCCAGAAGCCCCGAGTAGATGCTGTCAAACATAAATCTGGCATTAGGGTTAGCACCTAGTTGGTACAAAGCCTGGGTGATTTGACATTCATATAGAAATCAAGGTATTTTACCCAGTGATTATAATCATTCCTAGAAAAGACATTATGCTGAAGGGAATAAGCAATAAATTTCTTAGACTTAAGATATGAACTGTGAAGATTGCTTCCAACAACCAGCTCACTTTAAGGAAATTTCTTGAATTTTTTCTTAGCTCTTGCTTTACTAACAATAGGGTAATAATTATTCATCCAAGCATGCTTTAAATCTTTATACATCTGTTTTGAGGGTTCCACAGTTTGGTCTTTAAAAATAGCTTTAATGCCCCATTTTAAATGGATCACTACAATGAGGTGTCGACACAACAGCCAGAAAACTGATTGTCCCAAAACTGACTTAAGTTACAACTGCTCCTGATTTTTTTCTTGTGTTGAAAACTATTGTATCAGTACACACAGAAATGATATTCTTTGATATTTCAAAATAATCTACCAGATTGTGGTACAATAGCCCCATCATTAGCTTTTCCATCATCCACATGAAAAACTCCAAGAAGTAAATCATTGTTTGACGAAAACTCAAGACTTGTAACTGACACTGCTAGTCTATCAATAAGAACTTTTCCTTGATTCTTCTTCAATGGGCTTTACAATTTTTCCATCAAAGTGTAGCATTAATGACTTGTTCTTTATTTTTTCCATATACTCATTACAGATTTTACAAGCTAAACAGATTTTTATCTTTAAATTTAATAACTTTATCAATTTAAAACAGATTATCATATTAATACAATCAAAAAACTAAAATATTAAAACAGTATAATTTGTTACCTTAAGAATGAATTAGTTTCTGCCTCTTCTGATTGACTCTCTGCTAATACTCTGTGATATCTTCTTTAAGATAAATTACAATGCTAGAGATGATTAGAGTTTGATCTCTTATATGGATACCAGCCCTCATACACATTGGCGTGGTTTCTGCAATCAAACCCTCCGTATAGATCTCCTTGTTTACTGCCAAGGCTGAGGGACCAGATCTGTGTCTTGATTTAGGTCTATCAGGTTTATCAGCCAGTTAGATCATTTCTAAAGTCAGGGTGATAATCTTCTCTATCAGGGTACAGCTGGGAAAGACCTATCAAAGAAGTTTTTTAATATAAAGAAATCAAAATTTTTTATCTCTTGCATGACGTGATATTAAAAAGGATGGAGAGAGATAGAGAAATGAGTACCTAATGCTGATTTTCTTTTACATTTTTTAAAAGGTGATTTATCTTTTTCACTGATATAGTCCTAATCTTTATTGTCTGTTCTCTCTGGATCATTAAGAACCAAACGATCTGTTTCAGCTTTCTTCCATAGTTCTTCGTGTCTAGTGTATCTGTCAATTCTTCTCTCGATCTAAATAAACATAAATTTTTGAAATTTAGTATATAAAATAGTTTAAATATTTGGCAAATCTTAATCAATTTTAGTTTCATTAAATATTTATTACCCTGACCTCTAACTCTTCATCAACACAAGCACTGATAAGCATTTTTCTGTCTTGTCTTTGATCTTGAAGAAAGTCTTAGGTCTTCTTTTATTGTAGCACTGTCTCTTGGCATAGAAGTATCCTGACGCATAATGTACTCAAACTGTTGAGAACTGATATCAAACAGGTCATCTGTTATTATCAGGAACTTTTTTTGCTGCATTTAAGATGCATTTGGTTTAATTTTAAATGTTTATTTATTACAAACAGCTTTATATTGCTTGTAAATTTCTAGAAACGTGCTTAGTATGCTTACTTCTGAAAGAACATAGTTCTGAAAACCACAAGAGGCCCAAATATTTACAATACTCTGGAGCAAACAGTACTCTCCAGTCACAGTGTTGAAAGGCCTATCAGTTCCTTTGCATTTCTTTTGTACACAAGCAAAGTTAGTATTGATTGGTTTGAATCTTTTAACCATGGAGGAAATAACATACAGAAATAACATACAGAAATAACATGACTATTAAGTACACAAATGTCTGCTAGGTAGAGAGCTCAGTGGAGTTTCAAGGAGATATACAGGTCCTCTTGGGTTGTAATTGATTGCCTTTACAGCTTTTTTTTTAGCTTTAGCTCTTCCCATTTTTCTGAAATATTCAAATGTTTGAACAAAGAATTGTTTTAAATATTTATAAAGTTAAATATAAAATTAATTAACTGTGTATTGAGTATTAATATAATAAGAACTTAATGGCAGACAGTAGAAGAGGTGTGGTGGTGGGGTCCTAGGATTTAGGGTGAGGATGGAGGGGGAGGAGTTGGTGGGCATTGTAAATATGATTATGAATAAATTAATATGAATAAAAATAAACAAAAGTATTTTTATTGTACATCATACATGCATACATACATATATTGTATGTATGTATGTATGTATGTATATATGAATGTATGTATGTATGTATGTATGTATGTATGTATGTATGTATGTATGTATGTATGTATGTATGTATGTATGTATGTATGTATGTATGTATGTATGTATGCATGTATGTATGTATGTATATACAACCTATAGAGGTTGGACAAAAGTTTTAACATACTTTGTTGGTATAAAAAAGAAATTCTTTAAAACAACTAGAAATATTTTTTTTTCAAATAAAAATATTGCCTGCCCAAGCCAAAACCCTGAGTTAATGTAGCAGCACTCCTTGCATATTCTTCCTATTTATTAGTCAATGTAGCAGCACTCCTTACATGCTCTACCTTTTAGTCAGTTGATGTAGCAGAATTTCTCTCATGTTCTATCTATTTAAGTCAACATATATACATTGAAAAAAAATAATAATAAAATTGAAAAATTAAAACAGTATAAAATATTAAAATATAAAAACAAACATTTTGGATTGAAAAAAAAATCAAGTTTAAAAAAAAATTTAGATTACATTTTTGCAGTAATTCAATTTTTAATTAAGCTAATTTAGACTTTAATTTAATTAAGTTAATTTTTTTTTTAATTAAGTTTTAAATTTTATAAAATGTTATATGAAAGTCAAAAGTAATTAGGAGTGATGCTGCCTCAATCTAAACCTTTAGTTGATATATATATATATATATATATATATATATATATATATATATATATATATATTACATTTATGTCTGATGACGATCTATGCAAAAACAGGTCAAAAACAAGAAAAGTCAATAATCCAAATTTCTTATAATCTAAATAAAGTCCATACCATCAAAAAACAATATCATAGTTATTACAAATTTTTTATTAGACAAGTATATTTAAGACAACCATTACAGAAAATGCATATGCAGTGTGCACTTCAAATTTTTAGAAAAAAAAAGAAAAAACAGAAAATATTTTTTTGCTGCCATAACCTAAACCTTTAGTGGATGTAGCGGCTCTATTCTACCTAGATAATCAGTTGATGTATATACTAAAGTCTCCGCAATTACTTTATATATATAGATGAAAAAAAAACTTTTTAATGGTACTTGAAGTTTCATGCTAATTTCCAGCACTCATCAGCCATATATTTAAATCAAGTATTTTAAAAATACAAAAACTATTATAAAAAAAAATAAAACAACAGTGAAATGAGTTCTGACGTCAATTAATATAAAAAAAACATCTTTACTAATTACCAGGGTCATTGGGTAAGAAGTCTCCACTTGGAAACAACCAAAGTCGTTTTATTTAAAAGATTTGCATTTTTTTTATATAGGATTTTATGAGACATCTTATAAGTTTTAGTTAATGGATTGTATGCTTTAAAGCATTTGATTTTTTCCACTTAACTATAGAAATTAATAAAGTACACGCTATTTAAACACAATAACATAAATATGACAAATTCCATTTTAGACAAGTATATTATTTATTTATGACAATCATGACAGAAAACAGATATACAATGTGTAAAATAATTTGCTTTTTAATTCTTCATTTCGTGGGTTTTTTTTAGTTTATTATAGTTTTGCTACAAAGTTTAACAATTCCTTTCTTGTTTTAAAACAATACAAATTTAAAACAACCCTTTTTTTAAAAAATCTATAGCTAAGTATCAAAAAACATGGTTAAAAGATTAAATTACTTTAAAAAACCACTTAATCCATCATAAAAAAATTTCACTTGTCAATTTATCTATATTGATTTTGTTCTTTTAATTATTTTAATCCCACATCAATTTGATCAGTGTCTTTGATGTTTAGCAGCAAGTTGTTAGCATTAAGATAAACCTTATTCTGTGATTGTGCTATGACTCTGGCTATATTTTGAGCAGCAGATATTCTTCGTAATTTTAAATATCCTGGATTTTCTTTGATTGCATCACCCAATAACATTGCTGCTTTAGCTTCACCTTCAGATGCAACAATTTTTTGCTGGCGCTCTTGGATAGCTCGCTCAACAAGAAATGCAGCACGCTGAGCTTCCTGTTGAGCAACTTGTTTAGATTCAACAGCAGCAGTGTATTGTGGACTAAAAGTTAAATCTGTAATTGAAACGTCATCAAGAATTATGTTAAAATCTTTTGCTCTATCAACAAGCTCACGACGAACCATCAAACTGACTTCTTGACGCATCGTGATCAACTGTGATGCATTAAACTGAGCAACAACACTCTTTAAAACTTCATTACAAATTGATGGTAGTACACGCTCATTATAATCCAAACCTAGTCTTTGATAAATTGATGGTAAAGCAGATGCAATTGGGCGAGACAAAACACGCAAACTAATATTCACCATTTGCAAATCTTTGCTGCCTGTAGGAGAGGCTATTACACGAGGTTGCGCTCTTATGTCATATATTATAGGGTACTGAAACCATGGTATTCTAAAAATAAAAATTTTAGTAAATATATGTATGGAAAAATCAGCTATATTTAAGTTTTCTATAATTTTAAACTATTTTTAATAGCTTATTTGAAAAACTAAATGACAAGCTTTACAAGTTCACTATAACTAATAATGCTAATTATAATAAGTTCACCATAATGCAATTTTTTGCAGCAGTTTTAATGTTAAGCAAAAACTATTCTTATTTCGGAATATTTTTATTGTCTTTTAATATCGTTTATTCAAAAAATAAAAGACATTTATTCAGAAAATATTATTAATAATATTAATAAAAAATGTTGTTAATAATGCTAATTATAATAAGTTCACCATAATGCAATTTTTTGCAGCAGTTTTAATGTTAAGCAAAAACTATTCTTATTTCGGAATATTTTTATTGTCTTTTAATATCGTTTATTCAAAAAATAAAAGACATTTATTCAGAAAATATTATTAATAATATTAATAAAAAATATTGTAAAAAAATTTTTTAATCGCAACTGTGAATTTTTAAAAAAATAAAATTATTTGATAAAATTTTCTTTTAAATTAAAAGACCTTAAATTAAATATGATTTTAAATTTTCAAATTTAGTTTTGAAGGAATGTAAAATATTAAAACGTTGAATATAAAATTTAGTATAAAAGTAATGTAAAATAGTTTTGCAATTTTTTGTAATAAAAATATATTTTTTTTAATATGAAAAGATAACATTAGATGCCATTGATATGTGAAAAAGGAATAAACACTGGTGTTAGTACATATTGGTGTAGGCACACACTGGTGTAGGCCACACATTTATACAATAATGCAAGAGAGAACCAATATAGATGCAAAGTATGGGCATAATTATAAAAAAAAAGATTAGCTCTAACTTATTACAAAAAATTAGGCTTTTGAACATATTAAAAAAAAAACTTTAAAATTATTTTATGTAAAAACAGGACCTAACAAATATATACCTTGCCCAATCAAAACTAGTGCATTGATATTTGATTTTCTTTATTACATTGTCTAATATTTCAGTTGACAAATAGGCATCATTTCATCACTTACTTGACAATATACAGTCTATAACTCAGACCTATATTAAAGAAAGTCAATTTGTAATGCTGTCCCAAAAATACTATTTTTGATGTTACTCCAGTAATTTTAATTTTTATGTTATTCCAATAGTAGAATTTTCTATATAATTTCTAATACAGCATTTTTATTCTTATTCCAATCGACATAATTCCAGTAAATATATTTTCTCGGCTATTTCAATTTTGCATTTTCGACACTATTAGGTTACATATAATATACATATATATCATTATACATGTATTAGGTTAGCAACTATAAACTAATTAAGCAAAAAAAAGCGATTTCAAACCTTAGATGTATTCCTTCTGCATAAACTTCAGGTTGAACACCACTTATTCTACTAAATATGATTGCTCGGTGTCCGCCATCGACAGTGTATATTGACTCTTTTATACCGTATCCAACTAAACCTAACCCAGCCAAAAATGTAATACCTGATGCTGAGCCAGAGGGAACACCGTTAGCAAATTTACTTAATAAATTCTTTAACAGTTGTGCCATACTTATCAAGTTTTTATGTAGGCGCAATAACTAGTACAGGAAATAATACAGAAATAGATATAGTACAGGAAATCCCGCTACTAAGCGGGAGTCTGGAGTGGGAATCGTTACGAAGGGATATTGAAGACAGCGTTCGGTCTGTAAATTTCACAGTTAATGCCAACAGCAGTTCTGAACACCGTTTTCAGGTATAAATTTTAGGGATAAGATTATTTATTATTATAGAAGTAAAATAGCACTTATATATACCGCTGCGCCACGGCTGTACATTTTATGAGTCACATAAGAAAAGAAGAACTATTCCATTAGCAAAATAATCACTGGACGATGAAATCAGGATACCACTCGAAATCTAAACTTTTATTCACTATCTATGAGAATGGGAGAATCCATCAAAGGGAGACGAGCACGCATAAAGCAAATTGAGAAAGAAGTAACACGTTTTTGGCAAAAGAAATTTTCCATATTTATCAATTCAAGTCGTACAGGCAAAACCGGATTAAATGCTAAAGATGTACAATAAATTTCTAAAATAAGGAAAATACGATCCAATGAATGAAGCTTTTGATATCACAAAAAAAGATGGTCAATAGCTTATTAGTGAGAACAAAAGATCATTTTCAGATTAAAAGAAAAGGGCAGGTTGGGTATACAACAGAGATGGCTGTTAGTTCCAAAACTATCCATCCTAAAAAAGAAAACTCCCTTTAAGCCTATTTCAACAACAGTAACGGCAACAGCAACAACGTCAACATCCGAATCCGAGTCTACGGCAGAATATCAAGAGTCTGAAGATTCAGAAGAACAGTCCATAAGTACCAGTAAGAACTAAAGCAAAATCAAAACTGCAACAAAATTAGTAACATCTTCATACATTTGTCGACAGTTATCTCAAGATGGGATCAAAATTTAGACGTCTTTACAACCTGACATATTCAGATCAACTATTAGTGAAGATGTTAAACTTAAAGAAGAAATAAAGAAAACACTACATTAAGAAACCTAGTCACCGCATTTTGATGGTAAACGTAATAGTCACCAATAATTTCAAATGTTAAATAATAAAAAAAGAAAAGTTGTTACAAGCACCATTAATGAAATTTAGAAACACAGACCAGATGGAAAAGCAAATACTGTTATTATTGCTATGGAAAAGTATAAAGATAATTTTAGCCGACTCAACGAATGCAAACACTGGAAGAAGGAATTGGATTGGCAGTAAGTTACCCTAAAATAAACTGGAAGACTCGCATCAAATCCTTCATAAACTTGATTTTGACAACTAATGATTTATTGTCATCACTATGTTCATCAAGAACATGATGTTGACAAAAAATCATTAGTTCTCAACATCATGTTCTTGACTGAGTCCTTTGCATAGTAATAAACAAAGAACTTGAAGGAAACATTATGTCGCCCAATATCGAAATCCTTTTATCCTATAACTTTTAAAGGACTACGAGCAGTTCAGGAAGAAATTCAAGAATGGTAAAGAAGCAGTTATTGAAACAGCACGATAACATGATGATATAAAATTTCCATTTAATTTAACTTGGATACTCTGCTTTTTTGAAGAATCAGGAGTAATTCCTAAGTGAAGTTTTAAAAAAAACCTAAATTAAATAATGCAAGATAGAATTCCTGAACAATACTAGCTCTTTTAGCATTTATTTTCCTACCAGAGAATAGAGACTCACTCCTCGACATTTTTTTATTCATCTCTTACAGATGGGCGGACCAATGGTTTACTGGCAAAATGTACAATGCAGATGATTATCGAAAGCTATGTAGCAAAGTGCACGGTTACAAACAAGCATTAACGAAAAAGAGAGACCAGAGGTGTAAAATGAGAGCGAAAAATACAGGTAAGATGTATTTAAACCGGCTCTGAAACGAGTTATATTAATATTAAAATTGATTAATCACTTTATAAACTTTTTTAATAGTAAAATTATTTAATCTTTAAATGCAATTGTTTCTTGTATGGTTGCTTAGGATGCATTACCATATGCAAAATATTGTTCAACTACTGATCTTCGAAGCTTACTGCAAGCTAAAGGCTTCAAAAATATTCCTAAAACTCAATTACTAGCAAAAGCAATTCTTATGGGGTATGGAAAATGTATATTAAGAAAAAATATTTCATAAATTGCAATCTTCAGAGTATTAGGTATGATCATGAGAGTACAAAGTATTAAGTAATCGATAAGTGAAATTAGCGTGACATAAGCTGAAGTGTTGAAGTTTTATCAAACCAAATACACAGCGTACCATCAAACCACCAAACTTTGTCTTCTTTGTTTGGCAGAAGACCAGTGAAGAAACCACTTGTTTCAGTAAAGAACCGTTAAACCTGAGTTGAGCTGGTAAAAAAACACTTAGATTAAACAAAAGATCAGTGGAGTGATGAATGCGTGAATCAGTTGAGCAAAAAAGATCTTTGGAGTGATGAATGTGTTCTTTGGAGTGATAGATCGGATAGAATTAACTATGTTCGACGTCCGCATGTGAGAGATTCAATCCTAAGTATCAAATTCCAACTGTTAAGCATGGGTTGATGGAAATATTGTTGTTTGGGGTTGCTTCAGCCCTGATTGTATTGAACTTATTCTTCGTATTGAAGAAACTATGGATCAGCATGTTTGTAAGGAGATCGCCCATGATAAAATGATTAGTCAAGCTAAGGATAAAATGCCACAAATATGGTTATTTCAACAACACAACTCTCCAAAGCACACTGCAATCTCTGTCTAAAAATTTCTTTGCAATCAAAAAAATTCGTGTTTTTGAGTGACCATTAGAAAGACCTGATCTCAATCCAATTGGGCATTTATGGAAACACATAGATTCAATGAAAATTTCCAGAATATTGTATTTGTTATTCAAAATATATAGAAAAATAAGTGACTGTCTAACTTAAGACAAATGTTTAACGTCGTCATAAAATTTTAAGTAAGCGTTCTTAAACTTTTATTTTTTTTTAATGTTATTTTATTTTATTTTTTTTTTCATGATTTTTTACAACTTTATAAACTATTGTTACAATTCCTTCTTTTGACATAATATATAGTCATAGAGAAAACAAAAATAAATGTATACATATATAAATCGTTAAAATTATATTGTTAAATACACTGTGTTAAATACAAAGTATATGTTTTTATATATATTTTATGACAATAAATTTGATAAAATAATTTGGTGAAATAATTGTGATGTTGTAAGGAAACTCGCAGAAGACTTAAAGAAGTCTTGTCATCGAGAACTTTTGAGACATAAAATAAGTAAAAAATTAAAAAGCAAACTTGTTAAGTGACATTATTAGAGTTATACACATAAAAATATTGAGATATTAAAATTAGTAGATGTTGATTAAGAATTTTGGGTTTTGTTATTTTTTCTTTTTCTTTTTCACTTTCTTGTCAAATATGTTTAAAATATATCGATAAAATTTGTTGAATTAATTATGAGATGTTTAAGGTTTTTTTCCAAAGTATAAAGATTACCAGAATTACTAAGTTCTATATTTTGGGCTATGACTTTGTTATATAGGTAAGAGCCACGGTATACAATTGCATATTGCGAAATTTTTTTTTTTTTTTTATAGGCAACGTAAATTTCCCGTTCCTCTTGTAGTATACATATTAGCGTTAATTTGAAAAAAGTTATTAGAAAAATAATTTGGAACTAGTCCAAGTTTGTATTTCAACATAAATAAAATATTTTGGTATATATTAATTTGATAGATATTTAGTGCGTTTAAAGATTTAAGTAAAGGATTGGCATGAGTAAATTTATTTTTATTATAAACCAGTCTTGATGCATGTCTTTGATGCACGTATAGAGAATTTAATTTAGATTTATGTGTGCTCCTCCATGCAATGTTAGCGTAATTTAAATAACTTTGAATATAAAGTAGAGAATTTTAAGATTAGATTGTGAGAGCATTGGTTTAGCTTTATAAAGAACACCTATGCTTTTTGATATTTTTTTGTTTATTGTACTTATATGGGCCTTCCAGGAAATCTTCTCATCAATAATTATTCCAAGAAATTTAGTTCTTTCAATTCTTTTAATGCATATGTTATCTATTTTTAATGATGGTAGGATTGGTGGTATATTATTTTTCTGCTGGTTAGAATGAAACAAGATATATTTGGTTTTTTCTGAATTTAAAGATAATTTATTTGCTTTGAACCAGATGTTGAGATTTTCAAGATCAGCGTTCATTGATTCATAAAGTTCTGATGGATGACAATGAATAAAATAGATTTGTGTCATCGACAAACATAACAACATCAAGTTTTTTTAAGGCTTTTGGAAGATCATTGATATAAATTAGAAATAGTAGAGAACCAAGAATGGAACCTTGAAAAACTCCGCATTTTATTTCTAAAAGGATTGAATATTTGTTATCGTCTGAAATTACGCATTGTTGTCTGCCACACAGGTAGCTTTTGAACCAATCAAGATTTATCAAACTTTATAATCAAACTTTAGAACGTTACTGTATAGATGCTAACTTTCATGTAAATGGTAAGCTTTATAATTATAAAGATTATAATTTTGGCCTTATTTCAGTACACTTAAAAATGCCTACTGATTGATTATCGGAAAAAATGTCTGAGTTGGCCTTGTTTAACTATTAAATAACTATGTTACTAATAATTGATAGAGCTGCAGTAATGAAACAATTTAGACCATTTTCGAAAAGTCAACATCAATCATACATAACACACGGCGTTCAAAGAGCAGTACATTAAAAATATAATACTGATATGTATACTAATATATATATATATATATATATATATATATATATATATATATATATATATATATATATATATATATATATATATATATATATATATATATATATATATATATATATATATATATATATATATATATATATATATATATATATATATGGAATTACCAATAAGGTGAAAAATAATTTCCTCAGAAAATTTTTGTACAAGGTCTTAGGTACATGCATGGACATAATTTTAAAAATTTTGAAAAATATTTTTCGCCGTCCGAGAGAGTTGTAGTCATTTTAATGTTTCTATCAAAATCCTTGA